GATAGATAGATAGATAGATAGATAGATAGATAGATAGATAGATAGATGATTGATTGATTGATTGATTATTAATCCACTTTATTAATCCCAGGGGGGACATTTGAGGCATTCAGTAGCATTTTCTAATTGTACCCACAAATGTATTTGTGGGCTGAGCAGCAGAGTTGATGATGTGGGTTATGACCATGCAAAACTTGCCAAATCTTCTCTGCCAAACAGCTTGTTCTGCTGTTGACTCTTGTTTATTGTTGTTTATTGGATTGGATGATTGAAGTCTGAAGAAGGCATACTGGAAATTTATTTATATTGTTTTATTTAAGAAAAAGTTTCCTCAGTAGCATGTGGAAGGACCATACACAGCCACGTAAGCCTGGCACTTGCTCCTCACACTGTTCACCAGATTGGTCACACCCTGCTGTGGGATGGCATCACATTCTTCAACCAGTATTTGTCCAGCACAGTCAACCAGTGTGGTTGTGTTGGTGTCTCTAGAATGAACAGACCATCGGACTGATCCCTCTGGTGTTCAATGGGGTTGAAGTCACTACTGGAAGCAGACCTTTCCATCCTCTCCACTACAGATTCTGGAGGTTGTCTCTGATAAACCCAGCTTTGTGGGGGCAAGCCCTGCCATCTCTGAGGAGGATATCTGAAATTGGATTACCACTGGTATCAGGTGCCTGATACCAGAAGCTCAAAATAAAAGTCAATAGCAACATAGGCTAACATAGAAGATTTGGCTATTTTTTAACAAGTGCAACTCGACTTTGCTGCTGGACCCACAAATGCATTTTCCTAACAAATGTGGCACATAAACAGTTTCAAGGATAATAAAAAAAAAAGCCAAACAAGAAGCATTGTTGCAACTACAACATCAAATACAAATTTTCTTATTTCTTGTTCTGTTTATTTTACCGTATGCTCATTTTAACTTGTAAAAAATAAATTACATTTAATTTGGAGCAGGGGCAATAGTTATCTGAAATAATTGAAATGGTCACAAAAACAGTTGTATTTTACATGACCTGATCTTTTAAAAGTAATGATGAAGATAGGTTTAATAGACTTTGAGCAAGTAATTTAGCAATATACATAAAAGGTATTATAAACTACAAAAATGTCTTTTTTTTCTTCTTTGCAATACACTGAAAGACACCAAATTTAAAAAAAATTCTGCGAACAGAAGAGACAAAGCTAATAAACCACCCAGAATAGGTAATTTTTTTTAGTTCATTATGCAGCACTGCTTACGTAAAACAGACCAGATTTTGTTACGTAAATTACTACATGTGCTGAGGGACACGAATAAAAAAAAAACATTTTAACCTAAAATTAGTTTGTCAGTGCTTTAAAAATAGACTACACAATACAGTTCACATTTAGCAAATTTTAGAAACACTCCTGTTTTCTTTGGACTCAAGTTAATTGAAAACTCCTGTGATGTGGAAAACTCATAGGTTTATTGTTACTGCTTTGTAGGGTTCGAAACCAAAACTCATGCCACTTATTGTCAGGGTACCCTAATGACACATTGCCCCACCCCAAGAAAAAAACAATCAAAAATCTGAATGCAATCTCTGTCCTGAAAACGACATTTATCATAAAGGAAAATGCAGTGTACATTTTCTCAATGAGAATACAGCTTAAAAAATAAACATTTCAAGAATTTGTGAACACAAAGCATTTTAATTTTCACATTTTCTCCTCTGTGAATTACCACTTTGTCATGTTGGAGGAGTTTTTGTGCCTGAATGATCCTAGGGGGCAGGTACCCCTGGAGGGGTCTCTCAAGGCAGACTGATCTTAGGTGACAGACCCGACAAAGAGCAATTTAGAATACTCGTATGGACAGAGATGAACAAGGAACTCAATGTCCCTCGCTCAGATGTGGGTTACCATGCTGGACCTAGGCCTGGGGGGAGGGACTCACCGTAAAGCACCTGGTGACTGGGCCTTCACCTCTAGCTCCTGTTTGAGGTCAGCTCAAATGGGTTACACAGGTTTGCCTTCCTGTGTGCACAACACATGCAGGAAGGGCCATATGTGTCGGGTGTTTGGTTCCATGGGTGGTAGCTGAAGGTGGGGCCTTAGTACTCTAACCCTGGCATACCAAAGCTGGCTTGTGGATATGGAATGTCACCTTTCTGTTAGTGAAGGAGCCTGATCTTGTGTGTGATGTTGAGAAGTACCTACTGTTGGAGTTTTGCCCGGTAGATGAGAATGTAGCTTTTCTAAACCTTAGGGTGGGGGTGGGGTGGGGGGGACAGGCTCTGATGTTGGTGCCTATGTGCCAAACAGCAATTCAGAGTACCCAGCCTTCTTGGAGTACTATGCAGGCGCTCCATTGTGCTCCAGCTGAGGAATCTTCTATTTTGCTGGAGGACTTCAATGCTGGGTGAACATTGCACGTAAATGGGTAACGGCAGTGTAACCTAAGGGCTGTGATTTGGAGAACTGTTGAACCCGAACTGTGTTCTGTTGTTGGACTTCTGTACTAGTCACGGTTTGTCCATCACAAGCACCCTATTTAAACATAAGGGTGTCCATATGTGCACATGGCATAAGACACACTAGGTCACAGATAGATGTTAGACTTTTTAATTGTGTCATTTAATCCATATGTTTTGGACACTCAGGTGAAGAATGGAACTGAGCTGTCAACTGATCACCACCCGGTGGTGAGTTGGGTCAGATGGCAGGGGACAATGCCGAACAGACACGGTAGACCCAAATGTGTAGTGTTTGCTGGGAATACCTGGCAGAAGAACCTGTCAGAAGGATTTTCAACTCACACTTCTGAGAGAGCTTCGGCCACATCCCAGCTGAGGCAGGGACAGTGAATCAGTGGGTCATGCCTCCGTTATCAAGGCAACTACCTCGAGCTGTGGCTGCAAGGTTGTTAGTACCTCTCGCAATGGTCATACTCAAACTCAGTGGTGGATACTCTGGGTGAGGGAGCCCATCAAAATGAAGAAGTAGTCCTGTTGGCAGGTATTACCGGTACTTTGGAGGCAGCTGAGGGGTACTGGACAGTCAAATAGACTGCGATCTTGGCTGTTGCTAAAGCTAAGGCTCGGATGTGGGAGGAGTTTGGTGAGGCCTTGATAAAGACTCAGCTCCAAGAGGATTTTGCCAATCCTATAGGAAGATGAGGCGGGGAAAGCAACACTTTACCAGCACTGTGTATAGTTAAGATGGGTTGCTGTTGATCTCTATACAAGTGAATAAATGGTATAAATGATATAAATGGTGAAAGAGTTTGATTTGCATTGCTGGCAGCAAGCCGGACCCCTTCAGGGTGGGAGTTGGACTCTGACAGGGCTGCCCATGGTCTATGATTCGGTTCATAACTTTTATGGACAATAAGCGCATGCACATCTAGCAGTACTGATGTGTAGTGTTATGATAATCACTTTCTCTGGACTAAAGCAAATATTAAAAATGTGCTATGCAATTTAATAAAGTGCTCAGTATGGACTTTCTTAACTTTTGGGGCTGCAGCTCTTGTTCTGATTCAGTCGTTCCAACTGCTTCTTCGTTTGAGTACTGGAGACAAACATGAAGCATGATGAGACACGGGTGATTTTTGCGAAAACATTGACATTTCTGACACTTTTTTCTGTCCTTTGTTGTAGTTTCAGGTGACACATGCAGATGTGAATGATTTCAGGCTGAGCGGAGAAGGCAAGGACAGCATTAAAATCTCAAAGGATGGGTGGCTTTACCTGCAGAAACCTCTGGACTGGTCACAGGACGACCATTACATCTTCAATGTAACGCAAGCTCTCATCTTCATGAACAGACATACATTTTTCTCATGATTTGTGCTAAAAATGTGACACATCATGATGTGCTTTTGTCTTTATTTGTGCTTCACTTTGTCCAGGTGGAGGCATTGGCAGATGGTGTGGTTGTAGATGGGCCCATAGTTGTGAGCATAAATGTTTTGGATGTGAACAACAACGCTCCGTTCTTCAACCAGAGCAGATACTTGACTACGGTTAGAGAGAAGAGTTTGTCAGGTAATCATCTCAAAGTGCTCATAAATAATGAGGAAGGAGAAATAAATGTGCATAAAAATAGTACTGCAAATAAAATTATGTCTCACATTCTTCATCAGAGGCAACAGCCCATTTGTTAGCATAATATCTCATGAGCCAGAGGATGGGTTTGAATGAAACGTTCAGAAAGTAATCACTGGATGTACGTTTTCAACTGATTAACCTTCGGAGTTAAGCTAAATAAAGATGGCTACCACAGCTAATTGACCTTAGCATTGACATAAGTAGCTATACCACAGTCAATTTTATAGATATAGTGCAAAAAATTGGTGTGGCAAATATTTTAAAGCAAAAAAAGTTTTGATTATTTTTTAAAATATATTTTTTAATATTGATATTGGTTTAGTTTTTTTTTCATTTATTGTCATCTTCAGAAACAAAACTAATAAATTATTTTATAATGATATTTAAAAAAAACAACACAAGTTAATATGAACAAATTTTTAATTGGGCTTAATAATAATGTCGAGAACACAAAGATAGACCCAACAAGGTGAAGTGAGAAGCTGAAACTTACGGTGACAAAAGTCAACTTTGGACCCTGGTCTGCTTTATGTATAGATGCTGTGTTTGGGATTAATATGCAGAAAGTATTAAATCTCTTTTCATTGTCATGCTGATGACATCCAAATATGTTTCCCTTTTAAATTGGACTTATGTGTCCCTCTGTTTATTGTCTGTAAAACATTAAAGATTAATTTATTCAGATTAGCCTAATCCTGAAAGAAAACAAGACTAAATTGTTGTATTTGGGAATCATGCTCCTCCTCTCAGTGAGTTAACTGATATCCTTGGTCCTCTTTTGGAGAGTTTTTAGGCTGTTCTTATATTTGAGAAGCACGTGCTCACAGTTGTCAAAAACATTTTTGATAATTTATGCCAAATTGCCAAAGTAAAATCTTACATTCCTGTGGAAGAACTCAAAACATTTGTCCATGTCTTCATCCCCACTACTGCAGCTCTTTATATGTTGGCCTTGAACAATCTCTCCATCGTTAGTCCAGAACACTCATGCTCATCTTTTAACAAGAACTAGAAGGCATGACCAACAAAGTCCATGCTCAATAATCCAGGTATACAATCCATCAATTTTCAGTCAGGTCATCTGGACAATTTCTTTTTTTTTTTTTTTTTACCACACTCCAGTTTTAGCAGATTTGCACTGTTTTTTGTGTTGGCTTTTAAATGGCTTTACACCCAATTATTAAACTGACCATTTTGACTATTATAACCCAAAAGAGCACCAAGATCCTCCAGATGTTTTTAGTACAGGCAAGAGCTAAATGAAAGCGCAGAGGGGATTGGGCTCCCAGACTCTGGAACGACCAGTCCCTGATTATTTTACTGACTCTTAAATCCTGCGTGAAAACGCACTTTTTTACTTTGGTTTTTAAATCAAGTTTAGTTTGAGTTTCAGATTTTTCTTGTTTTCGTTTGATTTTCGCCTGTTTTATTATACCTGTTGGTTTTTATGTATGATTTTTTTCAAATGTATTTTTATTGATGGTTCTTTCCGATTGCTCTTAATCCTCTTGTGAAACACTTTAATCAACACTGTCATTTTTAAATGTGCTACATAAATAAATTTGGCTTTGCCATGTAAAAACCTCAGATCCAAGCAGTATAACATCCTGTTTTAAACAACCGAGGACAACTTCTCTCTGTGTGATAAAACTGTAACGCTGGTTCTGTTTTTGGTGTGTGCTCCAGGTGTGGCCTTTACTCGAGTGTTTGCGTCAGACCGCGACGATCCAGACACCCCCAACGCTCGTCTGAGCTACAGCCTGGTCAGCCAGATCCCCAACAACCACAACATCCTGTTGTTTCAGATCGACCCAGACACCGGAGAGATCTCCACCACTGAAGAAGGTAACACACACTCATCTTCACTCAAATGAAAGCAGAGACAGGGATGGGCTGAGTTTAGATGGCATCTGTGGAAAATTCTGTAATCTGTCCATCTCTGCCTGTAATCCATCAGAATAGCTTGAATGTAAATCCAGATTACACAGATCATCTTGTGTGCTCGAGATTAACTCTGATTGGAGGCAGATTGCCTGAACATATCTGATGCATATTTAGTGTGTGAAGTTATGAACAAGCTGTGGATCAGTGATATTTAATAAAACGTGGTTTGCTGCGTGTTTTAACAGGAGAAGAGCTGTTGAAGGCCAGAGAAGGAATCCAGTACAGCAGAGGAGAAGATCGGAGCATCGACGCTCTGAAAGAGAAGTTTGACGAGTTCTGTTCAGTGCAAAAGATCCCTTATGAAGAAAACCCCTTCTTCACCTGCGTGAAGAGAGCAGGTTGGTTTCCAGAGTCCAGAGTGTAGCTGAAACTTTTGATTTTGAGATTGATATATGATCATATGCACCGAAACAGTTATCATTTAAAACAATAAATCATCAACTGCAGACGTCTGTGCATGTGTGAACTGCACAAATATGTATTTTTTCTTTTGCTAAATCTTATAAAGAACTTTTGTGTTTACTAATTGGTTATTTCTGTCTATTCATTATTAATTATTTGGCATTTCTGGACCACAGTTTGACCTCCACTGTTGCTTTTATCTTTAGGTTTTGCTTGTATTTATAATGAAACACTAAAGAAACTACCACCTGAAAGCGCTTTCTAATCCCCAGTTTTGTCTGTTTTGATGTTTATTATGGATGTGAAGCAGCTGTTCAGAGGATCCAATGGGTGATGATTAAATCAAGTTATAGCCTTTAAACGTTAATTAGGTTGTTTTTTTCAAACTCGAATCTCTTCCAAATGTTTGAATGTGGTTCCTTTGATTTTTGCACCCTAAAATAGTGCAAAAACCCAAATATTAAACAAGATATTTTGCCCATTTTTCACAAATTGAAAGTATTTTCTTAGGTTTTATTAAAATGTTTTGGCCAAGATACAACAGGACCACAGCACCAAAGCTCTTATTTAACTGTTAAGCCATTTGAGCTCTTTTCTTAGAAGCTGATTTTATGGTGTGGTGAGACACCTGATTTGACTCCATCCTTCTCTTTCAAAGGACATGTGAGTTTTAAAATGTTTGTATGCACACAAATGATCTCTGCTCCAACCCTTAAAGAAAGCTGTAAGGTCAAGCTTCATAACTGAACTTGACCTTTCACTCAGTGGCTTGTTTCCCTGATACTTGGTTTTGTTTGTGCACTGGCCATGGCAGATGGTACTGATCCACCTTTTAGGCACAAGCTCAACCAAACCCCACACACTTTTTAGAAACAGAGCCTCTGAGACAGTCCTGAACTTAAGAGTTTCCTCTTGGAGAGACATTAGAATCACTGAGACAATAACAAAAGAAATAGATAGAAGCTGGGAGTTAAAGCCACAAAGGACGAGCAGTCTCGCTCCTTCATGTAAATGAGCAAAACAAATATGTCACTAAAAAGAAAAAAGTCACTTCATATAATTTTAGTATTTAGTATATTATATATTGAATAAACATATTATTTATACTATAATTTAGTAAATGGCCTGTACTTATATAGCACCTTTCTATCTTATGAAGGTACTCAAAACTAGTATAACGTCCTGACTGCACAGTTTCTGACTCCAAAAATACGACATGGCGGCACACACAAGTGTGACTATTTTGACTTCCCTTGTGAACAATGAAAGGATGCAGAGATGCTTTGTCCATCTTTATTCATTTCAATGAACAGAAGCACATTTTTAAACCTTAAATGCTCGTTTAAGTCAGAAGTTGCAATAGGAAATGTAATTGCTGGATTAGCCAACCAAAATAATTTCAGTAAATACAATATTTGTTAAAAAAATTGTATTTAAGTGCATAATTGATCTATTTTGCTTCTGTAGTAATGGGGAATAAACACATCTCTTTTATAGTGCAAATAATGCCCCCTTTTATTGATGTTGCAAGAAAAAGCAGATAAATAATAAAAATATTTTTTAAATAAAGTCAGCGGGGTGACCTGTGGTACATGTGCATACATTTCAGTCATCTCCGTTTAGGGATTTGTGCTCAAACACAGATGACGCTGAACGATGTAAAGGTAGTAAACAGTGACTGTAATAAGGACTCTGCTGTCAACGATTAGTGCTGGGATTTATTGATGGGGTGAGTTCATCCAGGGACAGAAGGAAAGTTCACATGGCACAAACTGTTCCCTCGTTGTTTACCAGCTGAGATAATTTATTGTACTGATTCTCTGGTTTTCTCCTGTGATGTCAGAGATGAGGAGGCGTAATGTGAACCCCCTGGAGGATCCGGACTACACCCTGATTGTACGTGTGCAGGACCTGGAAGGAGCTTCAGAGCATGCACTGAGTGGAACCACCAGAGTGCACATTGTTGTGCAGCAGAACCTATGGACCAATCCCGGGCCAATTACTATTAAAGAGAACTGGAAGGGACATTACCCCCAAGTTATTGCAAAGGTAACCAAACCACACAATTCTTACAAAGCTCATACATTATACCTACTCTGCACTCGGTAATTGATGCTCTTGGATCATTGCTCTTCTGTCTCTGCATCCAGGTCCGGTCTAACGATCCCGATGCCATCTACTCATTAGTGCAGAAAGAACGAGAACTGAAATTCCCCTTCCAGATTACAGAGGATGGAGAAATACTCGTGACACAGGAGCTGGACAGAGAGGAGAAAGAAACGGTAAACCAGACATCAGTGACATGTGAACCAAATCTTACAGAACTTGTGCAGAAATGAGCATTAAATCACTCTGCTTCTTTTTTTCAGTACATTCTGGTTGTGTTTGCCAGAGATAACTACGGCAACGAGGTGGATCCACCCATGGAGATTGTGGTCCAGGTGGATGACCTGAATGACAACAAACCAGTGTGTGAGCAAGAAGAAAGTGTCTTTGAGGTGCAGGAGGATGAACCTCCAGGTAAGATATGAGTCTGGGTGTGATCATCACATAATCCTTTCAGATCAAAACGTGTGGCGCACATGTTAAGGTTTTCTTTTATCTCAACTCAGGGATGACAAGATTCTTCAATAAGTGGGAAATTGTGAATTTTGTCCTGCTTTTGGTTTAGGTTTGAAAAGTGCAGCTTTTATTGAATAATATGATCAATTGAATAGACATTTGAAACAAAAATAATCAAGACGCCTGACTTTTCTGCTAAAATATTGATGGTGTGAGCAGTCAGCCTCCAATGGGAGATTGGAGATGGGGGTTCGATTCCAACAGCAGTCTCATGTTGAAATGTCCTTGGGCAAGACACTGAACCCCTCATTGCCTCCGATGTGTGTCCCATCGGTGTATGAATAAAAAAATAAAAAAAAATTCCCTTTATTTAACCAAGCATAAACACTAAGAACAAATTCCTATTTACAGTGCTGGCCTGGCAAACACCAACAGGTACTTGTAGGGTCAAGGGAAGGGAAACAATACAGTTAAAATGTGATCTAAAAGCACTGATTAGACTCTTTAGGATAATTTGTTTAATTAGCTTTGTATAGATCTAGTAGAGTGCTGTATGAATGGGTAAATGAGAGAACAGATTGTGTTGTGAAGTGATTTAAGTATCTTGATTAGATAGTAAAGCGCTATATAAGTACAGTCCATTTACCATTTAATAATAGTCTGGGCCATTGGGTCTCAAACCTTTCAGCTTATGATCCATAAATGATCATTGTAGACACTTGCTGTCCCAGTTTGTGCCAGTTGAAGTGCAGTATATTTGAATTGCTAAAAAGTCCAATAAATGAGGGAAGAATAAAGACTCAAACTGCCTCAATAACCACTGGAATGTTTTTGTCCATTCATGGCTTTTCTTGTAACAGTTGAGGCAAACAACTGAATTAGAAATTATTTTGAAATTTAATTTAATTTCTGTAAATCATCTCTCAAGACCCTACACTTGATGTTTTACGTCCCACCGTGGGCTCCTGACCCCAACTTTGAGAACCACTGGTGAATGTCACAGAAATATTGATTATTGTTTTTTTCTCGGTTTCTAATTTGTATGTTAGTTAGTTAGTTAGTTAGTTAGTTAGTTAGTTAGTTAGTTAGTT